TGTGACAAAACTCTTAAATTGGCGTAAAATGTTTATTTAAATTGGGCATCTAAATTAAATTTCTAAATTAAATTTTAAAACCGCCCTCCTTCCCTCATCGCCAGCTGGCCGTGGCAGATGGCCACCCCATTCCAGAGCCTGCTTCTGCCGGAGGTTTCTCTCTTTTAAAAGAGAGTTTTTCCTTCCCACTGTCGCCAAAGTGCTTGCTCATAGGGGGTCGGAGTTTTTGTGTATTAATGTAGGGTTTTGACCTTACAATATAAAGCACCATGAGGGTTGTTGTGGTTGTGGTTTGGGAAAACACTGGAGTAGAGCCTCTGCATACAGAGAGCTGTGTGCCTGAGATGGCCATGTTAAACTCACTGACATCACACAGAACCAAGACTAGAAAAAACTGATAAAGCATTTAGATCCTCCTGAATTGACCTTTTGGCTCACAGGGAATACTTGGATAAAAACTGAATACTGTAATTAACATGGACAGCACATGTGGTTTTGGCAGCTGCATCCAACATCCAGTTTATAGTCACAGGTTACTGTTACCAAATTCTGTTTTTGAAAAATAAGCAACATGCTTCAGCCGTTTATGTTAAGCCTGTTATATAAATTCAGTCACATTCGTTCACTGTGCTCATGTTATTGAACTATAAATTAAATACACTGAGATGTTCCACTTATATTTCCTTAAACCTTGACTAGAAATATACAAAATTCATCCCAAATAACATCCGTTCCAACAAAACACGCAGCAAAACAGTTTGCATACATTTTTATTCATCTTAAATCTCCTGTAGAAAAAAAAAAGAATCAGAGAAACAGACATTCTCTTTTCCTTCAGCCAATAATTTTTCCCAGAACTCAGAATATATCGATAACAGGAAAAATTCTTACAACAGCATGTACAAAAGAGAAACCAAAATGAAACCTCAGTCTAACAGATAATTTCAATAAAAACGCAAAAAGTTGGAAGGCTATGAATAATTTACACAAATCAAAAGTACAGGTAACAAAATGACCATCAATGTAACAAAAAAGGAGAGAGAAAAAATATCGAAATTTGATTTTATGTCGGCTCTGTGAGGTGTTCCAGTGGTAAAAGTGAGGCAAAATTCAGACCACAAACTCCAAAATACCCATCCTGACCACCCAACATGGATTCGTTTCCTGCAGCTGGGCTTACAGAGACCTTCAGTTTGAAGTTATGACCCTGACAGGAGAGGAAGAAGGGTTTAAAAAAAGAAAAGAAAAACGAGGGAGAGCATTTGACTGATGTGGAAACAGGTCTAGAGGCAAAAGCAACAGCTCTAAAGTCCTGTTATGGCAGTAAAAAAGTTGAAAAAAAAAATCCTCAAATGAAGCAAGTAATAGTTATAGTGAAATCCAGAAGTCACACAACCTTCACTTATCAACATTTCTACGTACCAAATACCTGCTGCAAGTATTGACAGAAAAAAAAAGTCATAAAATGTGTGCCTGCTGAAACCGGTCTATACTGTCCACAGCTAGAAGAGGAAATCACCAGAGAAAGCTCGTTTTAGACTCGGCGGTGCTTCAAAGTGTAATAAAAGGCAGTGAGGGCTTTCACGGATTTAAACTGTCACACTGAAAATGGTGAAACTGGTGGTTGTCAGCCTGCAGTCCTGCATATATGTATCCTTATGTGTTTAAACAAGTTTTAAAACAGCATATAGTAGCAGCATTGTCTTTATAAACCAGAAAAATAAAGTGAATGATTGTCTAACAGCTTCAGTGGGCTTTCTAGGTCGGAACCATCATGGCACAGGTCACGAGTGGGATTTAAAAGGTGCGAATTTGGCCTTCAGGCAGACCCAGTTTCATGCACTACTATTAAATTACAGCTATATTTACTACTTCTCTCTTTGAAAACCCCACTCGACAGTGTTTTTCCAAGCAACAATGGCATCCAGAACTGTACAAATATTAGGGCAACATAATGAAAAAAATATATAGTAATTTCTCAATGTGGCCCTAATACACCCATAAAACATTTTTAAGTTGTACTCTTCATTATATTTTTTCATATTAAACGTTAGTAATTTATAGTACCATAAAGAAAGTTTGCATTGTGTGTGTTTTACCAAGCGAATAGGTGGATTTGCCATATAGTGGCTAGCTTAGGTCACAACTTCATCCACCTGATTACAGGATAACCTGAAAAATACAAAAGATAAAAAGGGGGGATTCTACATGCTACTTCGTAACCCTACAATGTGGTGGTGGATTATGTGCAGAGTAGGTGCAAAGGACAGAACTGCCCTTCTTCCATTCTTGTATGCTTGTAGCAGCTCCTCCAGACTTTAGAAAGCCCAAATACAAAAGCCATCATGGGCCAAACTTCAATAGCAAGATGTTTGATGATCATGTTTTTCCCCTTGGAACTTTTACCATGTTTCCAGGATGGTTTGGTTTGTGGTTTGGATTTGACCATGTTATTGACAGCATGCAGTGAGATCGTCATTACAGCCAGTCAACTGTAGGTGAGATGTTTTGTTGTTCTGTACATGTAGATAGATTGGAAAAAAAAAGAAAAAAAGTGAGGTAGATGGATGGTTGAAGGATTAATAACAAGACCTTCCCCCACAATAGAGAAAAAAACAAAACAAAATGACAACATATCAGAAGGAAAACAAAAATATCTAATGGGGGATTTGTTTTTTTTACAGTGATTTACACTTCACACAAAAAGGACATAAATAACCAAGAAACATTTGGGCAAGGGATACACAAATGCTGCTTTCAGAGGCAAATAAACCTTTAAAAATCTTTCTATGTGGTCCACTCTGATCATATATTATGGTTTTTCTTCAGTAAATCTTCATAAAGAATACCATTAAGATTTATTCTCAAAGAGAAGGGCCTCAATACTCGTTCCTTTTATAAATCCTTTTAGTGTCACCTGTGACATCTTAATGTTCCCAAAGGAAAAAAAAAACCTCTCAATGCTATAAGATTAATTTTCACCCATGTCTCAGCCCAATCTTCTACAAACACACGTTTATATGTTGAAAAAAGATAAATAATATGGGTTATTCTAGCAGCCTAAAGAAAACCACCCCTGATGAAGAGACAGAAGTTGATTAGAAGGTGAAAGTATCCCACAGACAGGTTTCTGTACTCGCCTGAAATACATAAATTATGTTTTGCATTGTACTCTTAAGGTTTGCACACGGCACTAACACAGAGCCCTGAAACTGACAAAATGCAGTATCAGAAAAAAAGAAATGTGAGTTCACATAATACTGTTAGCTAAATGATTACAATGCGGACTCAAATGAACATTTTATACATCCTTTTATCTTTTATTGCCCGAGATTTTGGGAGGGTTTTGGCACACATTTAATGATTAATCTGGTCATTAATTACTTTTTCAGGACTTTTATGCATGTGTGGGGATCATCTGACAGAGCTGCTAGCCACTTAGCTCCAGCTAACCTCCCCCCCCTCCTCAACTAAACTAGCATGAGGACCATTTCTGGTACAAATATCACATTTTTAACACAATTATCTTCATATTCAGCTCTTGTTTTTACCATGAATTAGGGCATATTATGGCAGCATGTGATTTAATGAACACTTTTCTTTCATAATAAACCAGAAAAAAAAGGTATAACTAGCATGAGCCAGCAAGAAAATGTGTTAATATTTTCTTGCTGGGTAAAATGCTTCAGGTAAAAATGTAAACTGTACTTATCACCTGTATAGTTGGTAACAAATAAAGGAGTAATTAAAGTAAGTAACTTAATTTTTACTCTGGAGTTTGTTTTATAATAAGTTAGCTTGGGTGAACCAGGTGGCTCAGGTAGATAACTAGGATTAGCTCACCCCGACGCCACTGTGTGCCCCCTTTTAGTGTATTCTTGCTGCTAGGTGGCTAAAAGGCACTAAACAAACAGCAAGTGTGCACAAACCCTCCAAAAAAAAAAAGGGGGAAACTAAGGTGATGAGCTGGTATAATAGAAGATTATCATAAATTACATATTTCTTTCCTTTAATATGCCTTCTGAATTATTTAACTAACAGTATTGTTTATCAGTGTTTAATGCTACATTTTGAAATGTCTCACTTCTACATTTTGTCAGTATCGGGTTTCTATACATAAGTGTAAAGGTCAAATCAAACGCAGCCTGACAACCATTCGGTTGTAAAAACACTGCTTTTGAGTATTGTTAAAAAAAGAAAAGCAGTCAGAGAGAATAAGAATGAGACCGAGGTTTAACACACACCAGGCTGGATGTCTCTGGGTTTGACAGAACAAGGAAAAAAAAAGAAGAAGAAGAAGAAAACAAACGGGAAAGTAGAACAGGATTAAACTTTCCTCTTTGACCTGAGATTTAGTTGGGACACCTGGCCTCTTAGAGTGATAATGATGGGTAGAAGCGGTTTAGTCCAAACCATAGAGGACTGATGCAAAAGGGTCCCGAGAGAGCACAAGAACACCGATGGTCGTCGCACCCCATCGCTGTCCCCTAATTAGATGGGAGGGGAAGTGTTTCAAAACACAAGGCAAATAGTCGTACCTTGTACGCAAACACAGAAACGAAACCAGCTCAGATACACTTTACACAGTTACAAGCATAAAAAAAAAAAGGACTGTAGTTGAAATGTTCGTAGATCCAACCTGAAGGAGTTTTTTTTTCTCTTTTTAATATATAGATATTGACTATATTACAACCACAAAGAGAAATAAGGAATAGCAGCTTCTTTCTGTACACGATGAATGTCTCCAACTGTAGAAAAGTTAGAAAAGTGACACAAACAACTGGTGTGTACATAAATGCTCTGCCCACAGAGAGATGTTGTAAAGGTTGGAGACCGATGACTAGCCTAAAAAAATACCTGTTCGAATACAACAACAAAGACGCCTCTGAACTCGGAGAACCCCGACTGAGAGACGTTGTACAACTCGTGTTTATGTTTGTTTTTCCCATTTACACTTTTTCCATCCGCAGTCCTTGCTTTGAGTTTATTTGTTTTTTTAATTTTTTTTTTTGCTTCTTTATGGACTGTATTTGGCGGTTTAACCGTAATGGTACAGCACTTTGTGAAAAGATGTGGCTCAATTTCAGATAATTTCAAAGTCTATAATGTCAGATTTAGTGTAGTGTAGCACTGTAGAGGGAAGGTAATATCCCTTTTATTTCAAAATAGTGCAGTAGCAGATTTGTTTTGCTTTAATTTTCAATGGAGTGTGTTGGAGAATTACAGGGCAAAACTGCAGAAGAGAGAATCTGACAAACAGTATAAATTTGGCAATAAATTTGGCAGAGTTGACCTTTCCCCCTCTGGTTGTTTGTTTCAGCGAGTTGGCTGTTGATCCGGCATTACGCTGACACTCAGCCTGCAGAGCAACCACACTACTGAACGACCGACGAGACATGCCAGTCACTCTTAAGAGTTTCTTCTTCATTAGATATGCTTAACGTTTTCACCATAATGCCCGTTCAAAAGCAAACAAAACGCCGCTCGTTTTATATAAAGGCCTATAGATTTTTCTTCTCCCATTTGTAAATACATATAAAAAAGTAACAAATGATGGATTATAAAATAAGTTCAGCCATAAAGAGAGAGAAAGAGCTCTCACAAATTATTGATATTTTTCTTATTTGTAGTGTTTTTGATCTTCCCACTCGAGGGCAGTGTCACGTTGGACAGCCAGCTGGTAGAAACCAAAACTTTATGAAAAGGAAAAACAGAAAAAGAAGAACATGTTTGCTCCGTCTTCCTGTAAGTCTCACTGAATGGTCACATCCAGCTAGTGGACCACGCGGTTTGCTGTATTTGATTTAAAAAAACAAACAAAAAAAAATTCCCCAAAACAACAACAACAAATTTTTTTTAATTCCATCCACTGAGATGTCCAGCAGATGGAAGGTTTGCAGTCTGGTGGGTTGTCCAATCAGCAGGCAGAGGACTGCGGGAGAGGCATGGCACGCTCATTTTTGCGTCCTCCATTCATGTGCGCGTATGGTGGCAGATCGTCCAGAGACGGCCGCATTGTGACGCTCGAGCCTGTCCCGAGCCCCGACCCCCCTGCGTGCCCCGCCCCCGACAGCCCATTAGCTGCTTGCTGGCCGGAGGGGTGCTTGTCCATGGCAGCTCTCGACGTGCAGGGAGAGGAAGGTGAGCTGGGAGCTAGCGATGGGCCAGGTGGTGCTTCTGAGCTTGGGGAAGGGGGCGTCTGTTGGGGAGCTGGAGTCTGCTGCAGTTGTGTGGATGACGGAACGTCCAGAGGAACATCTTCCATGAGTACATCTTCCAACTTTTCCAGGTGGAGCTGCGGCGCATCGGGGGGCTTGTTATCGGCGCTGTAGAAGAAACTGACATCCCTGAAACACGGGTCCAGCTCATCCTTTATGCTGCTGATGATCTCAACAAAGGATGGACGCATCTTAGGATTGTACTGCCAACACATTCGCATCAGCTCAAACCTGCAAACACACACACACACACACACACACACACACACACACACACACACACACACACACACACAAATAGGTCAGGTCAGTATTCAGCAACAACATGTCCTCCTGCAGTAATGACCCTATCCAGAGGAACTGTACTTTCCTACCAACAAACCAATATTTACTTTTGCCAAATGTTTGCTTTCTGTTGCTAAAATGGCTGTATGACCCTCGTGCACTCGCTTCTTGTTTATGAAGTGCTGAGCTGATGCTGCCTTCACATGCATCCAGCACAGAGAGCTCTGCAGCCAACCTGATTCTGACAAACAAATTTATGACTCAAGCAGTCATAACTTATCAAACTTACACTGCAGTTTGAGTGGATTAAATAAGCATCTTAACTTGTTTTAGAGTTGCTGTAAGGTGGACTCCGCTATTTCTAAAATGGTCACTTAAAAAAAATTATACTAATAATTTACACCAATATTTATCTTCTTAGAATCAACGTTTTCTCTTGTGTTTACTGGTACCTGGTAGTATCAAACATGCTACTACAACCAGAAGGGGGCAGTAATGCACCTAAAAGTGTTTTTTTCAGAAGTGGCAGCTCCAGGATGTCAAACTGGGCTGATTTTTATTTTGTAAAGCAAGAGATGAGGTCCGCTGCAAACCAAACAATTAGGACACAACACATCATTATTAATTAAGGAAGTGCACTAGTAAGACCGTATTTTCTAGATATGCTAATGAATAATATTATTTATAAAATTGTTGCTGTTAGGGAAGAGAGCAAACCCTGGGACTTCACATTTGTTCTCCGCATGACTTCACCATCTGATGCATCCTTCAGTGTTTTCTTGTTGGTTGCCAAATTTGTCTGTGACACTCATGACTCTTTTGATGTGGATTTATACTGCGGCTGTTTCACATTAAGAAGAAACACATCTTAAAGAATACAAGTTCACACACTGAAATATAGATGGGCTGTGAAGGCAATCAGTACTGCAGTTCAGCAAATCCAGAGACCACAGGCTGAAGGGCAGCAGTGCCGCTTCACTGAGCGGATAATTAAAATTAACCAGCAGAGAAGAGGAAAACAGACATGAGAGCATTTTATGTGAATGTGCAGTGTGGAGTTTGTGTGTCTTACAGCATATCGGGACAGTTCTGAGGTTTCTCCAGAAGCCCCCCCTCCATGACAAAACGGAGAACTTGTTCATTAGAGAGACCTTGGTAGGGCTGTTCTGCCAGAGTGGCAATCTCCCACAGCACAACCCCAAATGACCTGTATAGAGGGAAATGGGGAGGGGGGCAAAAAAGTGTGCTTTCCATTATCTTTATGACAATGATGACATATTTTTGGAAGCAGTATACACATAGAATGAAGTCACCATGTGTGTTTTCATGCGTCTGCTTACCAGACATCCGAGTTGGTGGTAAAGACTCCATCTTTCAGGGACTCGGGTGACATCCAACGTACGGGGAGCAAACCTTTACCACCTTTGCGGTAGTAATCTGTCTCATAGATGTCTCTGGTCATGCCAAAATCTACTCACACACACAAACACAAGCGCACACAGACCAAAAGTAAGAAAGTGAAGCAAAAAACAGTCACTTCATTCGATAGAAATGCTTTCAAATTTTTTCTGACTTCTTGGTGTAATTTGAGTGGGTTTGTATTTCATACGGTTGTGCTTTTTACTGGTATTATAACTCTTAAAACAGCATTACATTCACTGCCATCACTTAGGGTGTTGTCACACCTATGGTTTGTTTACTCTGGTCCAAATCAGTTAATCAGTTTGTAAACTTGTAGCTTTTCCCTGCAGTTTGGTTTGTTTTCACACAGAGAAAAATCCAAGTAAACTCTAAGCAAAGCAAAATGCATGACTACAACCCAGTCCCCTCATTGGCCAGAAGTTTCTGTGGATGGAAGCAACAAAAGCAAATACAGGAAGAAAGTGCTGTGTTCTGGACTATCAGAGAAGAAGGAGAATTTAAGCTCATGTCATGGCTAGCTGCTAGCCCGTACAGGCATTAACAGTGCCTTGCCCCATTCAGAATCCAAAGCATTTGTAGTTGGTTCGGATGGGGGTCGGATTACGTTCCCACCATAAACGAACCGCTCTGGAGTTCATTTGGAACTGCACTGAGACCACCTCCTCTAAAGGGTTTCAGCGCAGTTGTTTTGGTTCGCTGCCGAGTGCTATTACTGTGCTAGCATCTGCACAAACGAACAGTTCAATTTAAACTGACTAAACACAGAAGATGTGACAACACCCTTAGACAGCACATCACATGAGCCTTAGACATTTTAACAAGGCACATCATTGTAGCTATAACTGTCTAGAAAATAGCTAATGATGCTAGTGGTGTGTTTTCTACTTTACTCTGTAATTGAGTTTACACTTAGTGAGCATACTTCCAGTGACAAGACTCATCCTTTACCTCCGATCTTAACAGTAAAGTCCTCGGCTACCATGCAGTTCCTGGCTGCCAGATCTCGGTGGACAAACTTGTTGGCGTTGAGGTAAGCCATGCCATCAGCAATCTGTCCTGCCATCTGAAGCATCTTCTTCAGAGGAGGGAGAGAGAGGCTGGACCACTGTTGCTGGAGACATGAAGGAGAACAAGCGAACATGAATTATCTGACCCACAGGTGATACTCTCTCACTGCACTTAATTACAACATTGCATTACACTGGATAGAGATACAATTAAGTTACTATCATGCAAAAAAACCCTACAGATTAAATATTTAGCTTTGTTTTTATTCAGTACTCATTTTCTGCGGATCACTATGACGACAATTTACTACCTCTTTAGGTCGCAAGGAGCGCAAGTAACTTTTTAGATCTCCTCGGGTCATCAGTTCCATGATAACCAGCGTGGGCTGGCCCTGAGAGACCACTCCCAGGAGACGAACCTGCAACAAACATAGGATGATTCAAACACAGGTAACAAAGGGAACTGATGTAACCATGTGGCCATTTCTTCTTAACTAGTCAGAAAATATGAACTACCCTGATTTCTCCGTAAGATCTGAATTTATGTGAGCACATACCACATGATGACAATTGAACTCCTTCATGACGGAGGCTTCATTGAGGAACTCAATCCGCTCTCTCATGCTGGCCGACTCATTAACAGTCTTAATGGCAACACGCGTCTCTGGTTCGTCTTTGACCACACCTTTGGCTATGCCTTCGTACACCATGCCGAATGACCCTTGGCCAAGCTCCCGGCTCAAGGTGATCTTCTCCCGTGCCACTTCCCACTCATCTGGTACATACACTGCACAGAAAAAGGCATTTCTATGTTAGCAAAAGAAGCGTGATTACTTTCTGATGTGTGCTGCCTATCCACATCCAGTGTTAGCTATTTAACAAAGCAGACAGAGAGATAGTGATGTAAAGATTCAATCTTTCAAAAACACATTAGCTAGCCTCGCTCTAGTGGAGAGAGTCCAGCTGACAAATTATTAGTTATTACTGCAGTTGTTTTCTGGTTGATTGTGATTGTTGTACAAGTGTAATATATTTTCATGGCTTTAAATTAGTGATAAATTAGATAGAAACTGGCTGGCTTTGCTCCCTGGCACATTAATGTGCATAGGTTATAAATGTGATTTAAATTCCTATAGGTGTATGGCTGAAGCTGAGGCAGTCTTATTAATAACCAAGATTTCCATCTCAGCAGTGCTGATCACAGGTACTTATCAAATGTTTTGTTTTTCAACTAAAGGCCACTGAATGGACGGGAATGCTTAACTTCACTCACTTTCTGCTGCGCTGAAGTACTCTGGGTTCACTGACGCGTACAGAACTCCATTTCCGAGCCGATCACTGTTCCTGACAAAAAAAAAGAAAAATGTTTACAGACACAGAACAGGGAGTGTGCATAAGGGTATAATTATGCACATCAAATTTTTTATTTTACAAAGAATACTAGTAAAATGCAACATTGACACAAGTGAACTTTTGCTTCAGATGCATTTACACTCCCAGATATACTCGACATTTGTTAGGCATAACAGTGCCTGGATAGAGCAGGAGGCAGCAATGCACAGCTCTCTAGCACTTGATCTTCGTACTAAGGAATGGACAGGTTAAAGACTGACTGATTTACAAACTAGAGAAGTTGCTGCAGTGCACGTGTGAAAACAAGTATTGTAGTATTTCAATTAGGAAACCTACTGTGGCTGGCTCAGAAAAAAGGAAAAAAGATTAATAGGCCCTACAGTAAAATCACAGTATGACAGGTGTTGCTAATTTCTTCTGGAGACTCATTACTTCATATTACTTCAGGTTGTTTTGAGTTCAAATCATGCAAATTTATGATCTTCAGTTCTCTTCAGGATAATTTTGGTATTTCAACATAAACACTAAATATTATAACCCCACATACAACAGGGTGCCAATCACGTAACAGATGGAATTCTAGCTTTATTTGCCACTTAGTTTTATGGACTACAATTGGCAAAAGCATTTTTGCTTTGGTTAGTGTGTTGGTTGAGTGACTGTGGATCACAGTGTGACCACACCACCCATTAGTACGTTGTTTAAGTGTTTATTTTGGGGAAGAAAAAGGAAGAAAAGTACATGCCCATATGCCTTTCATTTTGGTTTTTTTCCTGATACAGGGTCGCGTTTCTTTCGGGAAAAGTATGGCATTCTCTTTCTCAGGATAGATCTTTCGTAGGTGACGAAACACTTCTTGTGCACAAACCTTTTCCTGTTGAGGACAACCATCACTCCAATCAGAAGGCAGATGAAGATGATGATGGAGATGGGAACGAAGATCATGGCGTAGAAGATATTTTCATATCCTGCTGGATCGAACAGTTTGATTAATATCATTGGTAGTTTTGACGTCATTCAGTTGTTAGAAAACAAAAAGGCACAACATTTTGTTTTAAAAAAATGCTGCAATCAACTCTAATGATGCATGATCGCATGCGTCTTACTTACGTTCAGCCACATAGAGATCCACAGTTTGTGTCCAGGAGCCATTGCCAGCCAGAGACGTGGCTCTCACTCTGACTGAGTAGTTTCCTGGACTGAGGTTGGACAGCCGAACGCCACGCTGGGCCCGATACATTTGACCAGATACACATTCATGCTTCTCAGTCTGACACACACACACACACACACACACACACACACACACACACACACACACACACACACACACACACACACACACACACACAGAAAAGAGAGCTTATTATGGAGTAAGTTTTACTAAATCCAAATCAAACATCCAAGGGCCTGCTGTTTTTAATTTGTACTGTGCAATAAATAGTAAGGACAGGGTTTAGGGTGCCAGACCCATTCTGCCTCAAGATGAATAAATAATAAGTCTCATGTCTGGTCAGTGGCGTATTTGATTGGTTAGCATGTACTTCTGAGACCCAGCGTTGCCACTGTTTTTATGGCGTTTCTAAAACTTAACTCCTGTTTGTTGGTTCAATCTGTTCTGCATTTAAAATGAGCACATTTTAACATGAGCACACTTCTGCATCACATTCTGTGTGTCAGAACTGACTTCCCAACATTTTCAGAGCATTAGGTTAAACTGAAATTCTGTGTTGTGCAGTGAAGACTAAAGGAATAGTGATCATTTGTTTTTCATTAAAGGGAAAATGAGAGATTATGGCGTTGACTTTGATACTTGCAAACGTGAAATGGCTCTAGCTAAATGACTGGCAGACAGTCAGACTGGGTAACATAAAAATCTCTTCTTTAAAGCTCATTTTTATAGACTTGCTTTGATGTCACATCCCTTTTTTGTTTTTCTTTTGTGTTTTTTGTTTGCTATTAGCATCTGTCCCTTTTGCTTTAATGCACTTTGTGAACTTCCTGCCAGTCTTAAAAGTTAGCAGTATTATAAGTATTACTTCAGATTAATCACTTCACACAGAGGAGAAGATGATCTACGAGCAAAAAGAATTCTGAATAAACTACTGAATTTACTGGAAACAAAGGCAGTTTGTCCTACCTCAGCACCCAGTTTAAACTTGATCTCATACATGAGGATAAGTCCGTTGGGACGAGGCGGCGTCGGCCAACGCAGAAACACCCAGTCCTCGTGGCCTTCCCAGGTCACTGGACCCGGGATGTCATCGGCTTTTTCTGGTAAAATCACAGCCAGAGTTTAATTACAATGGGTATCAAAGAAATCACAGCGTGGTCATGTGTGTCCCAGTTGCCTGTAATGTTTCAAAACAAATTGCTGACCTGCAGGCTTGGTTCTGGAGAAGACAAACTCCGCTGCACTGCAACGTACGACCTGTCGATTGCACGCATGAACATCGATGCGGTAAACCGTAAAAGGCTGCAAGCCAGAGATCTGCAGCTCACGTTCTGTCACTGATTGCTCAATGAATTCAAATTCTTGGTCTGCCGGATCCTGTTCGGGGGTGCTGCTGTTGCCAGCGGCTTGAAGAGGAGGGGCAGTGCTACTGTTGCCGTGCAGGTGGTTGCGGCGGGAGTGAGTAGAGTTGGCGATGCCAAACAGATCTCTGCGGCGACGATCTGCTGGCCTGAAAAGTAGAGTCAGAGGAGAAATTCTAAGTGTGAAACAGGTGGATTTTAAGTGACATTAAGCCCAACCTGAGTGCAATTTTTCATACTTTGGAGCAAGATGTGAAACACTGCGGTAAACCACAAGACGCTGAAACCTGTCTGTCTCCTTTGTTGTTTACTTCTTAGCTCTTTAGGTTTGTGCTGATTCCAGAGTTACTGGAATACTTTGCTCAAACTTGACGTTTTAAGTGATCTGTTTTGTTTTTGTTGCCACTTGGCTTTTGGTTCAGCAGCTCTGATGAAGCATGGTAGGAACACTGTAAACAGAATTACTGAACAGCTCAGTTAATTTTCTAGTTACTAAACTCTTACAGGCAAAGCACACAGTACGTGCCGAAATGTGATATATCAGACCCACTAACACAGCTGAGCAACAAGAGATTACCAAGTAGTTTCCCGCATGTGCCTTTATTTCATAATATTTCATTGGATGGAATACCAGACAATGTTATTGCCAAGGTTTTGTCTCAACCAGAATGAAATATGGACACCTTTTAAATGGCTTTTGAAAATGTATCCTCAATTATATTTTGTCTAACACTAAGAAAGAAATGTTTTCTTTGGCTAATTATAGTTAAACAGTTCCAGCCAATCCGTAAAAGACTCTGGTAGGCGTGTAATGATCACATCAGCAGAGTTTACAGATACTGTCCCATTCATGTTGGTTTGCACACATCTGTTAAAGGTAAGCTCAAAACTAAGTGCAGAAAATATGATGACACTTGATGTTTATCTTTAGATGGAAGTACACAAATCCCTTTATTCTGGCCTGGCAAAACGCACCGAGGACTAATTATTCCCAATGGACTTGCACATGTGTGTTGAGACATAAAGAAATAATGTGATGCAGATGTCCGAAGTGCAATGCAGCAGGGTGACTACCTATCACTATCCAAATCAAACAGAAGCTGAGCCACTATGCAGGGAAATGAAGAAAAAGTAAATACATTTGTAGGGAAATTTCAAGAAGGATAAAAAATATATAAAGACTGAATTATCACTCCTCATTAGGCTATGTTCTTGTAACTGCTATGCATAATTATACTGTATAATGACTAAAGACCAAAGGAAGAAACTGATCTCTGTTTTGCTAACCTGAAAAATTACTCAAATTGTGCATGCATAGATATTTGGTTAGTTTAAATAGGGGGTAAAAATCAAGTTAAATGTTGCCGTAGCTACACAACGGCTGTGCCACATGGAGAAATAACGATCTTAGGTTAATCACCTTGGTGTGAAAATGGAGTTGTGCAGGAAGTTTTCAAAGACTTTTCGGTAAGAGGCGTCAGCAGCTTCAGCCTCCAGGTCTTCCACTGATTTGGGGCAGGGACAACAGCCTTTACCTGCCCCATCTGGATTTAGTTTAGTCGGCTTTGTCTCCTCTTCCTGGTCTCCCACCCCTATGGCAGCGATCCTAATGGGAATCTTCAACTCTGCAGGAGAAAGAGAAAGATTTGTAGTCCGTTTGTGACTTAATTATTAGCAGCAGTGGTGGCAAGGGAAGTTTATGCCTGTGCGTGTGTACCTTTGGAGCAATAATTGTGCTGATAGAGCTCTCGGTCTTCCGCTTGCTGCTGCCATCTTACCAAGTAGTACGTCTGGTTGCCATTCGCTGAGACAGGGGGCGACCAGCGTACCACCAGTTGAGTGGATGAGTTGGAGTACGCTCGCACATCCTGAGGCATGGAGGGTGCTGAGAAGCACAGAGGCATAAACTGATTTCTAACAACTTTTGAGTAAACTCTTTTCTCCTTCAGGCTGCCAGTGCAGATGTGATCGTCTGACATCACAGTGCTGCTATGTCTTTACACTGCAGCTGGACTTATTTAAAGCAGCCTTCCATTTCATCTAATTACTGCAGTATATTACAGTTTGTTTAAATCAGATTTTCTCCATCTCTTTGACTTGCAGCTGTGTTTATTTCAAACAGTCTTCCTCTCCATCTCCTTACAGTATGTTTGGATAAAATCCAGAAATGCTTTAATTCTGACAGAGAAATAATCCACTTCTATTTGCAAAACAAGTAGCAACTAAGCATATGCTGTACGGTGGTTTTAAGGTATACCAAACCATTTAGTATAAAAATATACTTCAAAGATATGATTTTCAGTAACATCACAGTTGTTTGCTACTTTTGTTAAACTAATAAGGGAAATAAAGCAGTTGCTAATTCAAACCACCAGAGGTCAGTGACAGTATGGCAGCAGCCAAACAGTAAGGCCAGCTGAAAACAATGCTATGCATTGGTGGGGATACAGTAATGCCCCTTTGGGATTGTTTAGACCGAACGATAGAGGGGAGTCGAACAACACATATAAAGCTACAATGCAGTGGTGGTGAAAACATGGCCACAGCAGGATACCTGCAATTCTGCAACTAAAGATAGGACAAGGTAAATATGTTTTTTTGGTTTTTTTGACTGATTAGTTTACGATTAGCTTTGGCACTAAAACCAAATGATGAAGCTTTATTTTTGGGTTGGGTTAAACGGCACGAGTTGTAGTTTGCACGGTTGCCTCATGGCAAGAAGCTTCCTGGTTAGATTGTGCTGTTTGCTTGTGTTCCCTGTGCGCATGTTGGTTCTCCCTGCATATTCTGGTTTCCTCCTACAGTCCAAAGACGTACGTGTTAGATTAATCGGCGATTCTAAATTGATCGTAGGAATGACTGGTTGTGTGTCACTCTGTGCTGGCCTTAGGATGGACTGGTGACCTGTCCAGGGTGTACACTGCCCTGGACAGATGGTTTTGAAATAGATAACACACTGAAGAATAAAGCAGTATATGAACGTGTGGGTGAAAATGGGGTTTGCAGTGTCTAGCACTGAGAAGTTAGTAACACCAGAAAAGTGCTACATAAATGTCATTTTATTTAAATTTCCTTCCCATTTCAGCTGCTTATGTTGAATGAAAGCAAAGGCATTACTTGGGGATATTTAGTGTCGGCTTAGTCAAACAACAATTTTGCTCTTTAACTCCCTGGTTATTCTAACGAACAAAAAAGTACTTTCTCCACTTTTAGAGAGAAGAAAGTACAGACTGTAGGAGACTGTAACTTTTGATCTGTGCTGTTGTGGTGTTTACCTGAGGGGCTGGTGCGGATGTAGACCACCTTGCTCTTGGCTCCTGGCATGTGTCTATCCTCCACTGTGAGTGTGATAGCTTTAACAAAGATAGCATATTGTGTCCACGGCTTCAGGTTGGACAGAAGAACTCCAGGATCTGACTCCTTGTCAGGCCTCAGCTCCACATCCACCATATTCCAGCTGTTGGAGCCACAGCCATCCTGTCCCTCAAACTCTGTGATGTTCTGGTAGGGCCTGGAAGAAAAGGGCGAATTATTAATTTATTACTGTACATCTATTTAATTCATGTGTTTTTTATTACTCAAATGAAGAATGTCAGCAAAACACAAAAATCTCATCTTCCTCAAAATAATAGTTAACACAGACAGAAAGACCACATTTCCATCGTGTTTTTTACTTTGCTGTATTTGTTTGTTGCCTGGCCCGCCATTTTTAATACATCATGTCTTTGCATCAGTTTTTCCCCTCATTCTTCTGCAACGATTTAACACTTAAATGTCCACTTAAAGTCAGCTCCTAATATTCGCCCAATAGTTGTGGCTGGAAAACCATTAAGTGAGATTTCCTATTGCTGATTCTCTGGACATTTGTGAAACTACGTACCAAGTTAATATAAAACTTGATTAAAGTAAAATTTCCTGTATTTAAAGTCCTGTTAATTTTTCTGAAACCTAACTTAAAACATGTTGGCTGATAAAGTGGTGGGATTAAGATTCAGCTCAGTAACACTCAGCCTGCAGATAAACTAAAATAAACAAAAAACATACGCTTCCTTGTAGTAGACAATGAAGCTGATGAGGTCTCTGTAGTCAGGGGGCCGGTAGCGCTGCCATGTCAGCTTGATCCTTGTGCTGCTGGTGCTGTTAGACTTAAATTTCAGAATAGTGCTTTCACCTATGGAGGGAGCAAGGAGGGGGAAAAAAAGCGCTTCAGCAGTATGTGTGCATTAATATGCAGCAATTAGTGTTGACAGAGTGGCGCAGTAAATACTGACGTAAGAAGCAGAACAGCATCACGCTCAAAAGAGGTGTTTGCAAACTTCTAGTAAACTAGAGTAACTTCAGCACATGAACTGGACATAGCAATTTAAATGTTTGTGGTTTTCAAACTGAAGCTCATTTTGACCCTTACAGCTGGCTCTGTCGCCGTTGTTTCGGAAATCACTCTCATCAAAGCGGGCCTGGATGCCTGTTTTGTTCCACATTTTGCGGATCTCGGACATGCACAGCTTAGGGTTGGCTCTGAAGAACAGCTTTCCTGTTTTGATGGTCAGATTGTGCTGCTTCCAGTCCCAAAGATACTGTAACTGTTGGTTGTCGAATGCAGAGAAGGCATACATGCTAGAGGGCAGAAAGAGGAGGAGATGAATGGATTACAGTCATCAATATGCTGCTTCGTTCTACATTCATTCGTGTATGTTTATCTATGAGTGTATTGTGTGTATAGTGATTCATGCTAGGCTGAGAGCCAACTTTCCCACCAAGGTTAAGGCCTTATTTTCAGCACGTAATGGAAAACTACACAACATATCCACTAGCGACTTGTCTATTAGGGGAAGCTATGCTAATTGAACAAAATGTAGCTATTTTACTCTTCTCGGTAGATCTCTCTTCTAGCTGGAGGTTTAATGACCCAGTTAGACAGCAGAGGGACTGCTTGACAGCAGGATAAAAATCACCTGGCAAATCCGATTAACCAGGGGCTGACATTTTTTTGTGTGCTGGAGAGGAGGTTTTTTTATGATTCTCTGGGTAACACCCAGACATCAAGGAATGACTGTAATGTGGGCCTTGGGACAGTAAGATTCCTGTGAACACAAACAGATGGAGGAGGGAAACGAAGGCCTCTCAATGACCCTGAGAGAACCTTTCCTGGGACTGTTGGAGGTTATACCTCATTCACAAACAAATAACAAACAACTGCACTTGTTCAAGTTTTGTTTAACTTTTTTCACTAAAGATTGAACATCTTGAGGATGTTGGATCACATCATTCTTATATATTAGCTGAAAATGTAGTTACTCAAGAGTTGTGTTTGTTGAGCACTAATTTTTTGTGGTTCCTAGAGTTTTCAAAAGTAAAATGAGAGAGAGAGAACCACTTTTACCTTTACCTTACACTATAAAGCACCTTGAGGCAATGTTTACTGTGAAGTGGCACTAAACTAATAAAACAGAATTGAATAAATGAATAGAACTAATTAATATTCAGGTGAATCCTTGAGAAAAGTACATGAGAAGAAATGAGCTCAGAGTGTCCCAATGCACAAACATCCGTCTCCACTGTAAGGCATTGAGATTAAAACCTTGGCTGTATGTTTATCCACGTAGAGAAGTGTGTGTGTGTGTGTGTGTGTTCTTACTCTTCATGGAGGTTTTCTCCATCGATGTATCTCAGGCTCCGAAGGAATGCAAGGGAGCTCAGTGTGTGCGAGTGTATGATCCGTACGTAACCAGTCACCCTTTGGATCAGACCTGTGAAACTTTCCAGCTCTGCCACCATGTTATCTAAACACACAGACCGTCACAAACACATTCATTTATCTATTGATGCATTTTACCCTTCACTTCATTGCTGGCTTAAAGAGGACTTATTATCATTTTACGCATTTCGTGTCATATATATGTTGTTACAATGATGGATGCTAATTTTTAAACATGGCTAAAATTTCAGTATGTGTACAAGCAATCACCATGAGTGAAAACTCACACTAAAATGGGCTAAATGCTCCATTTCAGACGGTTGACTCTATACTGTGTGAAAGTAAGCAGATACTGTATATGTAATATGTTTATCTTAGGCACATGGCCAGGACTTATTCCTGGAACAAAATGGACCTTCAGACATATGACTAAACAAGTGTGTTTCATCCAAAAGGTCTGTAGAACCTAATTAACAGAGGTAGCAACATTTTCCTGTCATTTCTGGCCATATGATAATCACAAATGCATTAAGCTTGAGAACATTAAGCCCCGCTTACAAAAAACAAACCTGGTTATTTTTCTTTGTTTAAAGTTTAAAACTGCTTTGGAGTGTGCCAGCATTTTTCATATGGGTTAAACCCTGAGACTCTGGCTGTGAGCACAAAAGCTCCACCCACCTACTATTTGCAAACCTTCTATTTATGAAGGGAAGCCAATAAGAGCAAAGGTAGCTTAAAGGTAGGGACAGGGGAACTGAACCAGGTTGTTTCAGTCAGTAGATTAAATCACAGGCTGCACAAAGGCCCAAGAGGAGACAAATAAGGATTATTTTGAACTGGAAATTACCTTGTTACTGTAAAATAATGTTATTATAGAACCATTTTTAAACTGTTGTAATCCATGAGGACAGCTTTCCTGAATGCACAATGAAATATATTGAAATTGTTGAGTTCTCATGTGACTTTCTCAAGTAGCAAAATCTGTGATAACTTCTTTTTGCGTCTGATTTAACGGTGTGAATATAACAGATCTTCATAATGTTCTACACCAGCTCCTCAGGCCTCCCTCACAAAGAAATGCGAGTATTAACAGTCGTATTGCTGTGTTACACCGCAGTACTTACGGCCTCTGCGGATGTTGATTTGCAGGTGGCCTTTGATAACAGTGCAGCCTTTGAGAGACTGAGCAGCAGTCATGGAGTCGATGACCTTCCCATCACATACTTTATCACACAGACCATCACAAGCTGTGCAAAACATACTGGAGACAGACAGAGAGAAAGGCAGGAGACAGTGAATGTACAGCGTCGTTCTTGACAGGCATCTATTTGCCAAACTGGTTTAGCGGGGTTTTCTTTCTTTCTTTTTTAAAATTTCTGTCCCTGAAAGATTTGACGTCAACATTTCACAGAAGCAGCCAAAGCATGTCTAGGTGAAATTCCTCGGCATGCTTAACGGCCTTCACTATTTGGAAGGCCATACAGAGACTATGATGGAACTAAATTCAATATTAGCAAAGCAACAATAAGGAGGGTGTTAAACCAGGCTAAATTCAGGTTGAACAGCAGCTCACCTGTTTGGTGCAGCACGTGTGTACCCAGATGGACATTCAGGCATGCACTCTCCTCCATGGATAACGTATCTGTCAAGGTCGGTAAATTGGGCTTTGGAGCAAAGCTCGGCACTGATGCAGCTCCAGCCCTCGAACTTGTAGGTGCCTGGGGGGCAGTCAGCCATGCAGCGGCCTTGGTAATAGTAATGCACACATGCAGTACATGCTGTGTCACTATCGGGGACTGTGCAGCTGCCCAGACACTGAGGGTGGCAGCACTCGCCGTCTGCTGTGCACGCTCGCAGTGCACACTTCTCTGGGCACCCCACTGTGGAGACAGAAAGAAAGGGGGGTATTTTAGTCAGACAATTTCCCCCAGAAAATAATAAAAACAATAAAAAAAACAAAACAAAACATCAGAACATGACATTAATTTTTAGGTACATAGCCTGTAGTTAAAAATTGATTTTCTGCTTTTCAAGAATTCAAAGCACTTTTCAGTGTTTCCTCATACACCTATCCACACAAACTCAAATACATGATGGCAGTGCTGCTGTGCTATCATCATCTTGCTCAAAGGCACTCTGGCCTATGGAGAGGCTGAGGTTCCAACAGCAAACCCTGAGTTGAGTTGATAACATGTTCTATTACTCGAGCCCCAGTGGTCATTTAGTAAAGATGACTACAGATTTAACTGCTCCCTTATATGTTTCCTATGTGAATGTTTTGCACAGATGATGCACATGTAGGTTTGCTGCAGCAGGAAAGATAATCTCACCCTGAAGGCAGACCAAAAAGGTTTTCAAATTTCCAGGTTGCAGCACAATCGTAGAGTGCCATGTGCCATTATTATTTACCTGGCACACTTAAAGAACAACGTAAATCTTTTAATCAACATGAAACAAAAAAGCAAACATAAACTTCTTAACAAACAATTGTGAAGAAGAAGAAGAAGACCTCATTAAAACCTCAGCCTGGTTTAAAAGCCAAAAAATAAACACTGTGTTTTAAATAACTTTTAAAATAACTCCAGATGTGAAGGGGGAGTGTGTACCACCATTTAGGAGCAGCTACTGCAAAAGACCAATATCCTCTATGCTTTAATTTGGACTTTTAAAAATATTTTTGTTTAATATTCTACCGTCACACCATTCAAAATGTAATATTTCGCCCTTAATACCACTACAAACAAGTTACAATTTTGGAGCAAACAACAACACTGATTTATTCCCACTGATGCAAATCCATATTTAACAACCAAACAGAGCTTGCAGTGAACCTAAAACCATAACACATAAATATAACCAGACAGCCTTCAGTGTGAACATGCCTCTGTTATGACACTACTGGCTTCAGTTCTGAACAAATGATTTGCATTTACCAGTGAATGACTGACAATGCATGCATGCACACCCGCCCAGATTAAAGCTTTTAAATACACCAAGAGCCACATATGAGGTACTCATGCAAGCTGCTTCATATCCAACCAACCACATTTGAATTTTTGTTTTCTTAGTCTTACTATTATAAAAGGCAACCCAACCATGGGGAGCCACAAGCAAGTGTACTCTTCATGCATGTCTCGATCTTGGAAAAATGGGGATTGTTGTGTGAGGAAGAGCATCTACTGTAAAATCTTTGCCAAATCAAACACACAGATTACGAAGAACAAGATTTCCATATAAGATAAGTTGGGGTGACAGAGGAGGATGCTAAGGATAGGGAAAGATTGAGACAGACGATCCACTGTGGCGATCCTTTAAGGAGCAGCCAAAGGAAGTAGTCGTGGTAGTAGTAGTATTCTTAAAATTACAGAATAATTATAATTATAGAATTCTAAAAAGGTGCTTCAGCTGTGCTTTCCTCCCTGATCCACTCCGGATTTTCCAGCCAACAGAGCTACAAATAACTCGTCCAGTTGCTGTGGTGTTCCTCTAAATAAGAGGATATTGTAACTGATGACAGGAAAAAGTGACTGAGGAGTTCCAGAAGAAAAACACCATATTGACATACATATAGAGAGCAGCCACATCTCGTCATGGCCTTTGTCTCTGCAGCGGGGGAATTTAAATGAAGCGTGATAGACAACAAAACACCAAGGCAGCTTATTTGACTAGCTGACACATACCTTTCACCATCACCATCACGCAGCTGAGCAGCAGCAGCCTTTAACCCACCTTTACTGTCGGCAGCTCACTGCTTCAACATGACATAAGCTGATTGGCTCAAACTGACTCTAAACAGTAACGTGTCTGCCACAGAAACAAACACTAACTGCTATGGAAACACTGTAAATCCCTGCTTGAAATTATTTGGTTGTGTGTCCTTTGAGGCATAAACAAAGGGACAGTGATTTCTGAAGCCAAAGAAACTGTAATTTTGATTGTGTCATCCACATAGGTTAGCCAGAGGCTGTTTAAACCAGCACCAAACAACACAAAGCTATAAGAAATGATGTGTTGTTTATAGAATGCTGAGCGATAAAACACTGGAACACGTTTCAACATGCTGCCTCCACCAACTCTGTCAAACAAACCAAAGACAACAGGCCAGAGCAGATGCGTATGGCTACACCCCTTTATTTATATTTCAATGATTTATCCACAGAGACTTGTTATATTATATTGAAAGATCTGGACACACAGTATATAGCATTACAAGACAGATCGTAGTGGATGATAGCACAGACTAAAACACAAAACAGATGAACAGATGGTTTTAACCTGTTTATGTTTGTGCTTAAAGAATAAAGATTAGGAAGTTTGTGTTTGGTTCAGGGGTTAATGCTGCATTAATACAATTTCTGAACAACTCTAAGACACTAAAAAGCAGCAACTTACAAAAGCATACCCAAACTGCTGTATTTATTAACTGTTAATCTGCTTTTGATTTTCTTTAAGTATAAGTAGCAGAAAGAATAGCAAAGGTATTCAGGAAAGAGGAAATCAACCGGTACAGGTCGGCTTTTCTGCTTTAATATGATTAAAAACAGAGTGCCATAGTAATTGACAAAATTGTTTATTTTTATTTTTAGATGATCAACCAATCAATTCATTTGACCTTTGGTGCATTTCAATTTCACATTTGAAATGCACCAAAACTACATTTCAACTGTGAAATTACATTCACTTTGGCACTACCTATTGGTTTGTGAAGTCGTGTTTTAAAGCCTCAACACTAACAGACCTGGTACATAAGATGCCTTCATAAAGTGCATTACACATCATTGTTGTTTGTCCACGTATTGCTATCCACCCCTTATAGTGACAGTTACAGTGATTCAGAAATGGTTGTCATGAGGGAGTTTAAGTCCATTTTAAAGGAACGAGAGGATAACTCTTTCAGTCAGTGTGACCGTTTTAATGATCAGTTGTTGTATATTTTTCACATGTTTGTACTCGTTTGTATGGACCGTTGTATTTTTTAATTGTTATGTTGTTATGTGTTGTTTGTGTTTTGATTTTTACTGCCATGATGCCAGAGATTTGAATCTCTGAGATTTGCCTGGATAAATAGAGGATTAATAATAAAACATCCAAAAGTGTGGGGGCACTGAAAGACCGGCAGCTCTGCATACAGCAGGAGAGAGGAGGGAGACACTGGAGAATTTATTTACCACGTTCAGAAAGGAAGTACCTTATGCAAAGAGCACTGAATCTTAGATCACATTGTTTAAATGCAATGATAAAAGAGTCAGTCTTCCTTACATGAACATTTAAAACCGTATTAGAGCAAGCTGTTTATTTGTATGTATAAAAGCAGTTAAGAGGCACAGTAGCCTAATATGATGTATTAGATAAAGAGTATTAGGTGTTTCTACAGTAAAGGTAGGGGTCGTTAAAGCAGATGGTCCGGCATATTTGATTTGACACAGATTTTACGCATGATGCTCTTCTTGACATAAATCTTCCATTTATCCAAGCTTGGGACGTTCACTAGTAGTACACTAGCTTGTAACCTCCTGAGGCTCGTTTCTCCTCCCAGAATCTAACCAGAGGTCCTTTGCATGCAAAGCAAATGCATTAAAATCACTACACCAAGCATACACAACTATTCCATGGTATTGAGGACCTGCAGATGATGACCAGGCTTTAAAAAGGTTTTGTTCCAGGGTGAAAACCTGCTTATTTTTATTAGAAATTCGGACATTTTACCGTAATAGTCTATAGGGAGTGACTCACTTTTGGAGCCAGCTTTAAGTGGCCGCTGGAGGAACTGCAATTCTGCATTTGCTTCATTTTTCAGTTCCAGATGCTGCTGCTTGGTTTTTAGATTAGATTAGATGAAACTTTATTAATCCCTCAGGTGCGTTCCCCTGGGAAATTCAGTAATTTCCATTCAGTTTCAACACGTTTAAACATGAATATCACATTTATTTTTGTTTACAGAATTAGAAATGCGAGACAGAAACAACCAAAAAAAACAAAAAACAAAACAAACAAAAAAACAACAACAACAGTGACCTACAACTTGCAAAAGCTGCCAACTATTTGTTGTTCAGTTTTGTGATTATGATTCTTACCCTTAACACTACTACCGTTTGCATATTTTGCAAATCCTGCATGACCAAATATTGAATACTGACACCATCTAATACAGAAACCTTTCAGTACACTTGCATAGCAAATTCCTAATTATAATGTTAACTAGGGCTGTTCGATATAACGATATATATCGGAGGACGATATGAAAACGTCTATTGTTTCATTTTACGCTATCGTTTGTTTCGTGGTGTCGCAAAATCAACTGTTTACGGCAATATTTTTTCATGGTTTTGATGGTCACTGTATGATTTCCTTTAGTTCTCTCTTCCTCTTTTATTTAATATAAGCACACTACAGACAGACAAGCCATTGTTTTTATGCGTTGTCGTTAGCAACGACGATGGTAAAACCATCGCGGGTCTCCGCCGTCCGCATGTTTATTTTCCACATAAACCTTTCACAACAAAGCTGAAGATCCTGTTGAGATTTTCCAAAATAAATGGAATCACGTGAAATATAATGCAGCGTGTTTACGCATGAGAAGCTAAAAAGAGCCGCCAGGTGTTAAAAAAAGAAGAAGCTTAGAACAGGCTTTCCCCGCAGCACACCGTGTAATAAATACTCAAAGAAAATTGAGGCCGTTTCAACTTACGCAACACTCGACTCCAGGTACACGACGCCCAGCTGAAAACACTTCACACAAGTCGACTGGCCCGAGATTCACAGAATTAGCTGAAAATGTAAAATTTTTGTGATATATATCGTTATCGGGATGATAAATGTCTTATATCGGGATATGAGATTTTGGTCATATCGCACAGCCCTGATGTTAACTTCAAATCAA